AATTTTAAATATAAATTATATATTCAAATATAGTATTATTTTTATATGTAATTTATTATAAATTTTAATTATATAATGAACATGTTTGTATATTGTACAAACTTAAATACCAGTGATTACTAATATCAGTAAGAAAAATGACATGATTCTGTGAAAAAATAAATTAACTAATGATTTAAAGAAAAAAGTGGATAGTTATTATTTTTAAAGAGGAGAATTATTTTTTATTATTTTATCTTTAAAGATAAATTGATGAAAAAATAAAATACAATATAAAAATATATTTATCTTTTAAAAAGGTGAACATAAAAAGGATATTTCTTTTACATATTATTATAAATTATTATTATTATTATTATTATTATTATTAAAAATAGTTACATTTATTAATACAGAGACGACATATCAGTTATAATGAATATTCTATATCAATTATATAAATGTAAATGTCACTTATATATAATAAAAATAATTTTTTACATCAATTAAATTTTAACGATATAGAAGTATGAAAATCTACAAATAAATGAATAAATAAAAATAATTTTTTTTTAAAAAAAAAAAATCACAACAAAGAACTCCATTGTTAAGAACAACAAATTGCTTCCCACCCTCCCACCTACATCCCTTTATCTTGACCTTATCAATATCATGGTTATTAGCAGCGGAAGAATGTATTTCGTATCTATGTAAAAAATATTAAATAAATTAATATTTTCATTAAAAAATGGACAGTTCTTAATTTTAAAGAAAATAATTATATTTGTGTATATTTTTTAATTTATTCTTAAATATAAATTAGTATAGGAAAATAATAAAATACAATATATACTAGAAGGGGTTGGTCGAGGGGTAAAATTGAATACTCCTTGATTTGTGGTTGAGGACTACATATATCGAAAGGAGATAACCGAAAGAGTAAAATTGAATACTCCTTTATTTGCATATATCGAAAGGAGATAGTGCAAGGAGTAAAATTGAATACTCCTCTATTTGGAGCCGAGGGCTACAAATAATTGAAAAATGTTGGTAAAAGTAATTAAGTAATGAGACTTTAGCATTGACTTGTCTCAATCCAAGCCTAATGGATTTAGGGGGAAAAGGTACTTTTTACATTTATCACAATATTAATTATATTGATTTGTCTAAAATTAAAGATTAACTTGAACGTTAGAGTATTTTTTATAGATATTTTTCTTTTTCCATATATAACTGAAGACTAATAGTTATATTATTAAAGATAAATATAGTGTATTTTAGACTCTTTGACTAAGTATAACCTTAAATTATAAGGAAGTTATGAAAGAAGACTATGAGGAGAAAGACATATGGGACAAGGACTCAAAGTAATGGAATTACACTCTATATCCCTATGTATAATTGTCATTAAAAAAGTGGACAATGAAAGGGATATCTCTTTATATATTGTTATAAATCTTTAAATATAAATTAATGAAATAAAATAAAATACAATACAAGAGTATAATTTGTTAAAATAAGTAAATATCAAAAGAGGGTATTCCCTTTGTATATTATTTTCAAAAAGAAAACACATCTTTTTCTTAAAATGCATGGAATGAAACAATAACTTTTTATAGTGATTAAAACAAAATTGTGAAATACTTTGAGACAAAATATATTTTTATTTATTTATTTGACTAATTTATTTTTTAAATATTATTTACTTTTATTTATTTATAAACATAAAAATTTAAATTAATATTAATTGTGATTTTTATTATATTTTTATTTTTACTTAATTCTTAAGTATTTTCAATACCAAAAAAAAAAACATTAACTATTTAGTTCACTTACCATAAATAAGAGAAAAAAATAATACTACATTTCCTATTATGAAGTTAATAATTTTAACATAAAGAAAATGTTAATTATTCTTCTTCATATATATGTATTATCCCTTAAATTGATTGATTAATGAAAAGAAATAGAAATACTAAATATTTACTATTAGATGAAATATACAAAATATGTGTCATATATTCTTTGGAAACTTTAACTGTATTAAGGTTATCTCTCTCAAAATCATTCTTTTATCAAATCTAAAATTTTGAAGTTTGAAAACCAACTAGAGTATCAATCAAATCAACTTAACATTAGTAAAATATTATTTGTTTAATAATATTTTAATACACTAAACATAATTTTAATAAAATGTAATTTTTCACTTATCAACTATTATAACTTTTTGGTGTAAAAAAAGTAATATAACTTTTAAGATACCCTTTAGAATGGCCCAGCTAGTTTTAAATAAAAATCGAATATGGCACTATTCTGAAGAGAGCATTGTAAACGCAGATCTGTTCAGATTTTTGGTATCATAGGTAATATAGGTTTTCATTTTTATTTTTAATTTTACAACAATAGGGGACATAGGTTATATAACTTACATGCGCGTGTGTATATATTAATTTAACTACTCAGAAGCATAGAGTAAAAAGCATCAATTGAACCATGGCTACGCTGATTGCTCCTTCCAACCACTCTCCTGTGGAAGATGCTGAATCTATCCGAAAGGCTGTCAAAGGTCACATGATCCAACTTCTCATTTCCTTTAATTTTCTAACATTCATTTAAGCATATATTGCTAGTCCATGATCAAATTTTCAATCCTTCATTCGAACATAACAATCATTTCTCAGTGCAAAACATTGGTTTTTCCCCATATACAACACTAACAATTTGTTAGAAACTTAGAATATCTCATTAGTATGGCATATTTGTTTTTAAGGGGGTGATTTATCTATCTCTATAAAATTATTACAAGTATTGTTAGTGATATTTTTCTATCAAAGTTAGAGTAATATGCATTGACATATAATAAGATATCTTATTGTGCAAATTTTTAAAGTAAAATTCTAATTCTAATTCCGACTAGAGAATAACATCACCTATGATATTGTTCATATTACATGAAATTTTTATCCTTGACTAAGTTTTCAAAAACTTTGTAGGTTGGGGAGCTGATGGAAAAGCCATTATATCAATACTAGGCCATAGAAATGCTACCCAAAGGACCCAAATCAGAGAAGCATACCACAATCTCTTCCAAGAGGACCTCATCAAACGCCTTGAATCTGAGCTCTCTGGTGACTTTGAAGTACACAAAATTGGCAATAACAATTTCAAAAGTTTTGGATGCTTTTATTATTGATTCACTAATGAATTATTGTGTGGGGTTGTACCAAACAGAGAGCCATGTACCGTTGGATATGGGAACCTGCAGAACGTGAGGCTTTGTTGGCCAATTTAGCTCTCAAGAGTGCTGACAAAAACTACCAAGTGATAGTGGAAATTTCCTGTGTCCTTTCACCTGAAGAGCTTTTTGTTGTGAGGTGTGCCTACCACAACAGATACAAGCGTTCCTTGGAGGAAGATGTGGCTGCTAATACCACTGGCCATCTTGGCCGGGCAAGTCATATAATTCAACAAAATTTAGATATAGTTCTTTAAATATGCCATGTTGATATTGTTCTTCGATCAGAATTGAAGTTTCATATGATTAATCTAGATTGACTTTTAATAATACAAGCTTTTATTATACTAATTGATGAGATGAAATTCTAACTTTTGATATACAAACATAAAAATACTTGAAGGAAATAATTCATGTATGTTTGGCCCATCGACTTCACTCACCAACGCCAGTATTCTTAAACCACTTCTAGTTCCCCAAGTATTCTCGACCGCTCCTGGCCCTTCGGCTTCACTCACCAACACTAGTATTCTTAAACCACCTCTGGTTCCCCAAGTATTCTCGACTACTCTTGGCCCGTCGACTTCACTTACCAACGCTAGTATTTTCTTATTAGCCACTTCTGGCTAGCAGTGAGTATTCTTTGACAAGCCCCTCTAGGCTTTACAAGTATTCTTTCTCTAGCCTCTTCAGGTTTTACTACATTTGCTGAGTAGGTTGGGTTTGAGTGTTTACATAACTCTCACAAAGAGGATTGGGAATTTCTACACTCATTAAGGTTTGCTACCTTAGTCTTACAAAGACTCGTGTTTGAGTGTTTGGATTACTCTCATGGAAAGGATACATAGGTGTACAACACTCACTAAGGTTTTGTTCATAACTAACATTTTGAACACCTTAGTTTACAGAGATAAAACTACAATATTATATTGTACATACGACTATAAGTGCTCATTCTGGTCTCTTTATTTCTTGGGCTTGATATCACTATTTCTTGATTAGGTAAAAGTCAACCTCTCAAGGTTTGATGTTGAGGCTTATGTATAGTCTTGATATATAGTCTTGTGAAATCTACCCATTACAATTGTCCGTTGAAGCAAATATAGTCGTTCACGACCAATTTGATCTTCTCATTTAATGTTCAGATTCGCGCATTAAATGTTGCTTCCTGTTTATAGACAGTGCGTGAAGTTTTCCTGCTCAGTTGGTAGCTATATCTATGTGTAGCAGAGTCCTAGGAAACTTCTGTCCTTTTTCTGATCCTATAGCTGTGGAGCTTTTGTCCTTGCCTGAAAAAAGGATGTACTTTTTCTGACATATGCATGATTTATCGTTTGAGCATACTCTTCTTTTTTCTTCTTTTCTTCTAATAATTCAAATGTCTTTGTGTGTTCTTTTGTGAGTGCAGATGATGTTCAAGATTTCTTTTTGAACCATGATTACTCAGATGATTGTGTGTCGTTCTTCGTCTGTGTCTGATAATCAACATGTAGTATAATGTCTTGACCTTCGTCTGATCATTATTTTGACTTTTCTTCTGTCTTGGTCAACCTTGTATATGATCAAGCTTTCCATTGTCTTCCGTCTGATTTTTTATGTGCTTGTGTTGCCTTTCCGTCTTGTACCATCTGATGCTTATGCCTCTTCATCATTTTACATGTTCTTATGTTTTTATGAAACACTAACTCACTTGTTAGAGATAACAACATATATTATATTTATTTACTACATTTGCTGAGTAGGTTGGGTTTGAGTGTTTACATAACTCTCACAAAGAGGATTGGGAATTTCTACACTCATTAAGGTTTGCTACCTTAGTCTTACAAAGACTCGTGTTTGAGTGTTTGGATTACTCTCATGGAAAGGATACATAGGTGTACAACACTCACTAAGGTTTTGTTCATAACTAACATTTTGAACACCTTAGTTTACAGAGATAAAACTACAATATTATATTGTACATACGACTATAAGTGCTCATTCTGGTCTCTTTATTTCTTGGGCTTGATATCACTATTTCTTGATTAGGTAAAAGTCATTTTTTGCATTAAAAATTGAACATTTCGAATGTTTAATTTAGGGTGTAAATAATCTAATAATGATTCGAAAGTTGGTAATTTAATAAGACTAACAACAATTATTATCTTAAGTTTTGATACAGTATTGAGAATAAAAATTTGAATTTAATTCAATCATATATATATATATATATATGAAGAGGGATCTTTTTATTGTAAGAGTAAGTTTACCTAAACTTACTCCATTTAATAACTCATGTTTTACATCAAATTTTAATGATCCAACCGTTCAATTTAAAGTTCTTAATGCATAGATCAAATCTGCAAGTTTTTAGAAAATTTAAAAATCATTTAATACTTCATTTCATTGATTCAAATTAACGGATAATCATAAAATCATTTTATACATTAATTTGGATTAATGAAATGAAGTATCAAATAATTTTCAAATTTTTTAAAAAAATCACAGATTTGATCTATGCATTAAAAACTTTAAATTGAATGGTTGGATCGATGAAATTTGATGTAGAACATGAGTTATTGAACGAAGTAAGTCTAAGTAGACTTATACCTAGAATAAAAGGATTTCTCCTATATTTTATTTATATATATATATATATATATATATATTATTTTGGTCTTTTTTTATCAATAATAACTTGATAGTAAATGAATATTTGATGGATTCAACAACAATAATATAATTATTAACAAAAAAGTTTTAATATCATATTAAAAATATTAATTTATGTTTAACTTAATTCTATAAAATAAATTTGTAAAATGAGAAATGTTCTACTTGTGTATATTATTTTGACTTAGCATGTGTTTACATTAGAGTTGAGACGTGAAATTTTTTTCACATTTAACTAGAAACAATGAATGGGAGTTTCCACATAAATTTACATGTAAAGATGAAGAGAAAAGAAAAAATTACGTTTAAAAATAAAAATCAAACACGTACTTAATCTCTAACATTAATCATTCAAGAAAAAAATCATATTAAAAATCATAGTCCTGGTGGTTTACTTGCTCTTAACTACCATAGATGTATGTTTCTGCACATATATTGAAGTTGTTGTAGATTATTACACGGAAACTAAAACCATTTTATTCAACAAAAAAAAAAAACTATTCGCGATGACATATACGTGTCTTTTTCTAAATCAACTTTTTTTAGGTATTTTCCCTGAGTTTAATACTCATGATCGTTGATCGGATAATAGTGAGAAAAAAAAATATTATTAGCAAATAAATCGTTTATTCTTTCCACTGTTTTTTCTCCCCTTGATGATCTTAAGTGGGGGAGTATCCAAAGAAATTGAAAACAGAATAGTTGAAATTTCTTTCAATTTAAAATACCTGTACATAAATTCAAAGAGGCCCTTTTATTTATATTTTCTGTTTACATTGATTTATTAGAAAATTCCAATTTGTTGAGAAGGAAAAAGTTTCTAGTAGATAATCGATGTAAGCCGATTGAGATTATTATGATCACGACAATGGATGCGACATCCTGAAAAATAAAATGAATTGACGAATAGGGTTTTTAGGCGGTAATTTCAAAGAATCATGCATATGCTTTTCAATTGAAACTCTAGGAGAGTAACTTATGTACTTCACTATTTTGTTATTATCCATTAGGAGAGTAGCATGTTGCTGAGGTGACATAGGTTATATAACTTATATGCGCGTGTGTATATATTAATTTAACTACTCAGAAGCATAGAGTAAAAAGCATCAATTGAACCATGGCTACGCTGATTGCTCTTTCCAACCACTTTCCTGTGGAAGATGCTGAATCTATCCGAAAGGCTGTCAAAGGTCACATGATCCAACTTCTCATTTCCTTTAATTTTCTAACATTCATTTAAGCATATATTGCTAGTCCATGATCAAATTTTCAATCCTTCATTCACACATAACAATCATTTATCAGTGTAAAACATTGGCTTTTCCCCATATACAACACTAACAATTTGTTAGAAACTCAGAATAGCTCATTAGTATGGCATATTTGTTTCTAAGGGGTGATTTATCTATCTCTATAAAATTATTGTAAGTACTATAAGTGATATTCTTCTATCAAAGTTAGAGTAATATGCATTGACATATAATAAGATATCTTATTGTGCAAATTTTTAAAGTAAAATTCTAATTCCGACTAGAGAATAACATCACCTATGATATTGTTCATATTACATGAAATTTTTATCCTTGACTAAGTTTTCAAAAACTTTGTAGGTTGGGGAGCTGATGGAAAAGCCATTATATCAATACTAGGCCATAGAAATGCTACCCAAAGGACCCAAATCAGAGAAGCATATCACAATCTCTTCCAAGAGGACCTCATCAAACGCCTTGAATCTGAGCTCTCTGGTGACTTTGAAGTACACAAAATTGGCAATAACAATTTCAAAAGTTTTGGATGCTTTTATTATTGATTCACTAATGAATTATTGTGTGGGGTTGTATCAAACAGAGAGCCATGTACCGTTGGATATGGGAACCTGCAGAACGTGAGGCTTTGTTGGCCAATTTAGCTCTCAAGAGTGCTGACAAAAACTACCAAGTGATAGTGGAAATTTCCTGTGTCCTTTCACCTGAAGAGCTTTTTGTTGTGAGGCGTGCCTACCACAACAGATACAAGCGTTCCTTGGAGGAAGATGTGGCTGCTAATACCACTGGCCATCTTGGCCGGGCAAGTCATATAATTCAACAAAATTTAGATATAGTTCTTTAAATATGCCATGTTGATATTGTTCTTCGATCATAATTGAAGTTTCATATGAGTAATCTAGATTGACTTTTAATACAAGCTTTTATTATACTAATTGATGAGATGAAATTCTAACTTTTTGATAAACAAACATAAAAATACTTGAAGGAAATAATTCATGTATGTTTTTTCCTGCATAATTTTGTACATTTATTTAGACTAGCTATGGCATTTGAAGAGAGAATTTCTTAAGGGGTGGTTATTCTTGATCTAATTAGTATTTGGTCAATTTCTTTTGCAGCTATTGGTAGGGTTGGTGAGCTCATTTAGGTATGGTGGCAGTGAAATTAATGCAAAATTGGCAGAATCTGAAGCTGATGCTCTTCATGAGGCTATCAAAAACAAGAACAAAGGTAATGGAGAAATTATTAGGATCCTTACTACTAGGAGCAAGACCCAACTTGTTGCTACTTTCAACCGCTACAGGGATGATCATGGCATTGCCATCACTAAGGTACAACAACAAAGTCTTTTTATTTTAATCTCCCTTGTGCTATTGTAATTGTTACTAATATGAAAGATTTTTGTTCACATTGAATAAGGGATTTCTTGCTATAGAACTTCCTTTTTTGCTTTCATACTTCCCCATACCTTTTAAAAATACATTTTTCACTCTAAATTGTTTTTCCAAATATTTAACTTTAAACAAAAAAAGTATAGGCCTCATGCAGGACAAAATTAATTAAGCAACAATTAGTTTTCTTAACTTGTTGTTCCTTTACAGAAATTGTCCGATGAAGGGTCTGATGAGTTTCATAAGGCAGCCAATTTAGCCATTAGCTGCATCAATGATCATAAGAAGTATTATGAGAAGGTGAAAATCTTGCATACTTTCACTTTAACTTTGACCCTTAATTAGAAAATCAATCTCTTTGAACATGACATGGGATGCAAGAATTTTAACCATGAATCCACCGAGTATAGGTTCTTCGCAATGCCATGGAAAGTGTTGGAACTGATGAGGAAGCACTGACACGTGTGATTGTGACAAGGGCTGAGAAGGACCTGAAGGAGATCAAAGAGGTCTATTACAAGAGAAACAATGTTCATCTTGAGCATGCAGTGGCCAAGGAAACTTCTGGAGACTACAAGAAGTTCCTCCTTACTTTGATGGGGAAAGAAGACTAAGAACCTGTCACAATATAAACATTTTTAAAAAAAATTCTATTTAAAAATACTCTTTATTATTATAGAAAAATTTTCAAAAACGCTTTTAATTTATATATAAACATAAACATGTTCTAACTTAATTACTTATTTTAAGGATATATGTAACTGATTTCATAGAGTCCCTTTTTAGAGTCCAACTTTTGTTATCTTTGTTGTGTGAGGCAACTTGAACATCTCAATTAATGATGAAAGTTCTTCATTCAATAAGAATAATCGCGGGTTTGAATCATGGTTAAAAATTGTGGTATGCAATTGTAGCTGTAACATTGTTGTTTGCAAGGTCTTTGCAATCTCATTACGACCTCGTATTTACCGGTAATTGCAAAGAAATTTTGACGATAACTACATATTATAAGCATGGTTGATATCAAATCAAGCCATATTCAGTATCAGCAAGGTCAATAATACAAATCAAGCCAACAAAATAACGACTGTTGCAATTAAATTTCTAGAGTGAAAATACTTGGGTTCAATTTTATGAATGTGAACCCAATTATATATATAGAATTGCATACTCCCACTTATCTAGTAATATTATTAATTGATATAAGATTTTCGATACATATCTTTTGCATTGAAAATTGAACATTTAAATGTTTAGTTTAGGATGTAAATAAATTTGAAAGTTGGTGATTTAATAGGACCAACAACAATTATTATATTAAATTTTGATACAGTATTGAGAATGAGAATTTAAATTTAATTCAATCATACAACTTTAACTTGTAAATTAAAAAATGTTATATTATATATATATATATTATTTTGGTCTTTTCATCAATAATGACATTTATAGATACTTTAATAATAATTTAATAGTAAATGAATGATTTGATGGATTCAACAATAATCATATAATTATTAAAAAAAAGTTTTAATATTATATTAAAAATATTAATTTAAATTTAACTTAATTCTATCAAATAAACTTGTAAAGTGAGAAATGTTTCTACTTATATATACTATTTAGACTTGATCTCCAACATTAATCATTAAAAAAAATCATATTAAAAATCATAGTCCTGGTGGTTTATTTGCTCTTAACCACCATAGATGTATGTTTCTGCACATATATTGGAGTTGTTGTAGATTATCACACGGAAACTAAAACCATATTATTCAAAAACTGTTCGTGATGACATATACGTGTCTTTTTCTGAATAAAATATTTTAAGGTATTTTCCCCGAGTTTAATACTCATGATCGTTGATCGGATAATAATGACAAAAAAAAATATTATTAGCAAATAAATCGTTTATTCTTTCCACTGTTTTTTCTCCCCTTGATGATCTTAAGTGGAGGAGTATCCAAAGAAATTGAAAACAGAATAGTTGAAATTTCTTTCAATTTAAAGTACCTGTTCATAAATTCAAAGAGACCCTTTTATTTATATTTTCTGTTTACATTGATTTATTAGAAAATTTTAATTTGTTGAGAAGGAAAAAGTTTCTAGAAGATAATCGATTGAGATTATGATCACGACAATGGATGCGACATCCTGAAAAATAAAATGAATTAACGAATAGGGCTTTTAGGCGGTAATTTCAAAGAATCATGCATATGTTTTTCAATTGAAACTCTAATAGTGTGTTTGGACGAGGAATTTATATAAAGTAATTCATTTATTTGAATAATTTCAAATGCTTTGAAGTAAAATACTTTGTTTGGACGAGGAATTTACAAAGAATTTGAAATTGAAGCATTTGTGAAATTCCTTAAAATAGTAGAATTTCAAATTCTCCCAAAAATAGGATAATTTGAAATTCTTCATTTGTTTTTCTTATTTCATCTATATATTTTATTTTATCTCTTCATTCTTTTAATTATTGGATATTAAAAAATATTATATTAATTTTTAAAATTATTAAATATTATCTAGTATTAATTTTTAAAATTATTAAATATTTAAAAATGGATTAATATTTATTTTTATAAAATTTAATTTAAAAATCTCAACATATAAATATATTTTTAAAACTAATTTTACTATGATGAAATCAAATTATCATATTTAACTTAACAATTTAAAATTTAAGAAATTTGAATTGACTCATCCAAACAAAATATTTTAAAAATGATAGAAATTAAAATCAAAGTAATTCAAATATCAAGAATTTAAAATTTCTTAAATTTATAAAATTTCTCATCCAAACACACTATATGGATATGAGAAATAGAAATACAGTATTTTGTACTTATGACAAATATGTTCGACATTAACCAAGTAACTTATGTACTTCACTATTTTGTTATAATCAATTAGGACAGTAACATGTTGCTGAGGGAGCTAGGGAAATCAAGGGAAATCTACCTTTTTATTTTTTTTATTTCCATTTATTATTTTTCTTAAATTTTTAAGAAAATAAATAAAATGAAGATGATAGTGACATTTATGTTCTTAAAGATGTAGTAATGAAAAAAATTATAATAGTAGTGTGTATGGATTGGGAAATTTAAGGAGGTAATTTAGGTTTAAAATAAAATAGTAGTGTGTATGGATTAGGAAATTTAAGGGGGGTAATTTAGGTTTTTTTTTAATGAGTTTCAAATGCTTTTAGATTAAATGTCTTATTTGGAAGGGAAATTTATATAAAAAAAAAATTAAAATTTAAACATTTGTAAAATTCTTTAAAATAATAAAATTTCAAATTTTTAAAAAAAAAGAAAATAAAAATTTAAAATTTTTCATAATTAATTTTTTAGTTTGTGACAGGCTATATGTTTATTATATATGACTAAAATTTATAATAACTTATATAAACAAATAAATATTATATTTAATATAAATTACATTTAAAATTTGTATAAATAGATATTTTTAAACATATAAATTATATTTAAGATTTAAGATAAATATTTTATATTCTATTAAAAGATTATTTTTAATTATTGATGATTTAATTTAAAATAATAAAATTTAATTCATAAATAAATATGATAAATAAAAAATTATTTAAATAAGAAGTTGAAAAAATCTCTAAAATGTTATAATCAAATAATGACTTCTAAAAACACTTTCAAGTCACATAGATTGTTAGATCAAAAGATGATATGATATTGGATCCCTATGGATATTAATTTTAATGCTAATAAACCTATATGTTTTCATTAGAGAAATGCTATTAAAATCATAAGATAAAATATAATAGATGATTGGTTATAATGATGTGTAGTCCATCTAATGAACCACATAGTCTATGTGAAATGAATGTATTTAATATATATCATTCATGATGTTTGATAATCAAATCATCTTTATCTATGTTATTCTTTAACAAATTGAAAGGAATAAAAAGTTTTTTTGGTACCTGCACTTCAAAAAGGAACAAAGATATGTTTTTCATTAGAGAATGGACGAGCAAATCTCTCAAAGTATACAAAGTCTTAAAATGTCATTTTTGATTGACACACGTAACAGTTCCTTTCGTTTGGTACTTTAAAAGTGATAAATAACTTCCTTAGTAAGATAAAAAGTCATGATTTGGTGAAATGCATTTAATGTTCGCATTTAATGCATCAACAAATACTTATCTCCACAAGGAAGTAAGACGAAGATAGAAGAAGCAAACATATGAGAGATGTTCAAGGATTTGCAATAGTCATCTTATTAAAGCACCTAAATCAAGAAAATTGAAGACCTGGAAAGGAATTGAAAACAAAAATTGTAAAAATTCTATTCATTCTTTCTATAAAAATCTTTGTACATAATTTGGTTATATCACATCTTGAAACTAAGAAGAAATAAGTGATATTTTGACCTTAATTAAAGAGAAAAGTCAAAGAATACTTGGGTTCAACTAGAAGTGGCTTATGAGAGAATACTTATATATTTTTGAAAGGTAGTGGAACTTGAGGTAATCTAAGTGGTTAAGATGAATTATATAAAAGTAATGTGTTTATTCTCATCTCTTTGTCTACACTTCTAAGGTCTCGTTACTACATTATTTCAAAAAAGTGTTGAAATTTTTATTATTATTTAACTCCCCTTCTAATATCTTTCTTTTCTCTACATAGTCATTTGTGATTAATACATATAAGTTGATTTTTTTTTTGTCTCACTTATGTATCTTTTATTTATCTCACCTATTTCTTCTTATTTTTCTATTTCCCCTATCCCACTCTATATCCTCTCTCCCTCCCCTCTTTCCCCTTTCTCCTTTCTCTTTTTTATTTTTCTCTTTCCTTTTTTCCTCTCTCTCTTCTTTTGTCCCTATAATTTTTATCTCTTCTCTCCCCCTCTCTCTCTCTCTTATCTCACTCTTTGTCATCTTTCTTTTTTCTCTTTATCTATCTCTCTATTTCTCTTTGTCTCTACTCTCTCTTTCTTACACACTATCTTTTTCTTCCCTTGTTGTCTTCTCTTCTCTTTTGCTCTCTCTTTTCTCCTTCCTTTCTCTCATATGTGTTTTAATGTTGACATTAAAAATATCAATAATTTTTAATTTTTAAATATTATCTAATATTAATTTTTTAAATTAATAATTACTTAAAATTGATTAATGTTTATTTTTATAAAATTTAATCTTAAAATTTCAATATATATATATACAATCAATTTTTCTAATGGTAAAAACTAAATTACCATATCCATATTAAGAATTTAAAATTGAAAATTTTGAATTGATTTATCCAAACAAAATATTTAATGAATAATGAAAATTGAAATCAAAGTAATTCAAATTTCAAGAATTTCAATTTTTTTTAAAATACCTCATCCAAACACAACTTAAGAAAAAAAAAAGAGAATTTTTTGTTATGTATTTGTTTTACTAGGAATATTTTTTTCAAAAATAAAAATAAAATTAGGATGTGACGATAGTGAACACAAATATTATTAGGAGTATTCATAGACCGGTTTGTTTTGAATTTTAGGTAAACTAAAGTCTGGACCAATCAATTTTGTTTGGTTTGGTATGGATTGAATTTACTAAAAGAAAAACTTGTGATTCAAACCAAAC